CCTCCGGAGGAGCCAGTACTTACCACACCCAAGGAGCCTGTACCTACTACACCCAAAGAGCCTGCACCCACTACCCCCAAGAAGCCTGCACCCATCCCTCCAGAGGAGCCTGCACCCACCACCCCCAAGGAATCTGCTCCCACCACCCCCAAAGAGCCTGCACCCACCTCCCCTGAGGAGCCTGCACCCACCTACCCCAAGGAACCTGCACCCACCACACCCAAAGAGCCTGCACCCACCACCCCCAAGAAGCCTGCTCCTACTACTCCTACGACACCAGCTCCAGCTACCACCATGGAGCTTCCCACTACCTCCAAGACTCCTGCTGAAGCAACTCCTGAGTTTTCTGCAGGACCCACACCAAAAACTCCTGACAACAGTGCCAAGGAGCCCACTGTACCAACAACCAAGACTCCTGAAGTGACAACCGCTGCTGTACCTAAGATTACAACAAAAGAGACAGCAACCACAGCAGAAGAAAAAACAACTGAATCCGAAATAGCAAGAACCACCATGCAAGTAACACCCACCACTCAGGATTCATCATTCAAAACTACTACTCTTAAAACACCACCAACCGAAGAGAGTAGGAAAGAACCCGAAGAATCCCCTGGACCAGAAGACACAGCTACTGATTCTAAAGCAACAACTCCTAAACCCCAGAAGCCAACCAAAGCACCCAAGAAGCCCACCTCTACAAAAAAGCCACCCAAAGCACCCAAAAAACCCACTTCTACTAAAAAGCCAAGCTCACCAAAAGGGAAAACACCCAAAACTACACCAACTCCCCCCAAGACGACAATACCACCTACCTCTCCAAAAGCCATGCTCCAAACCACCACCAGCCCTAAGCAAACTCCAGACTCAGAAACAGTTGAAGTTAATCCAAATAATGAAGATGCAGAAAGTGACGGAGGAGAAAAACCACACATGATTCCCAGGCCTCCTGTGCTAACTCCTATAGTTATCCCAGGCACTGATCACATAGTGAGAGGACCCAGTCAAGGCATCAGCTCCCACTCACTGCTTTTAGGTAATAGAATTACTTTCATTTTAAAAACTGGTAATATTAATTTATATCTATCTGAACTAGAATGCCCTAATTTAGTATTACTCTGAGATACACATACTATCTAGAGCCCCAAACTTTTTACAGTTTCCCTATAGGTAAGCAGAGGAAAAATCCAAGTAAACTTACCCAGTCTTTAGAAAGTCAAGTAATAACCTATGGTTAGGAATTTGGCACATCCTCCTAAAAGTACATAGAATGTCAAAAAAATTTGAGGGCTGGGGATATAGCTTGGTTGGTAGAGGGCTTGCCTCGCATGCACAAGATCCTGGGTTCAGTCCCCAGCAACACACACACACACACACACACACACACACACACACACACACACACCAAAAAAAAAAAAAATTTCGAGTCTATAAAGAAAGTACAATGCAAAGCAAAAATTCTTACTTCCTTTTCCAAAACAACCCAAAGAGCAATGACTGAAAACATCAGTTCAAACATCCAATAAATGCCTAATTTATATGAAGACCAAGATAAACTTGGGCTGAGGTTCTGGCTCAGTGGTAGAGTGCTTACCTAGCATGTGTGAAGCACTGAGTTCGATTCTCAGCACCACATACAGATAAAATAAAGGTCCATGAACAACTAAAAAATATTTGGGAAAAACAAAGCAAAACAAAAACCTGGCCCAGCCTGGCACAGTGGTGCATACCTGTTATACCAGCTGAGAAAGGCTAAGGCAGTAGGGTTGCAAGTTGAAGGTTAGCCTTAGCAATTTTTTGAGACCCTCAGCAACTTAGCAAGACCCTATTCAAAATAAAAAAATAAATAAAAAAAGAACTGGGGATGTAGCTCAGTGGTAGAACACTCCAAGTTTAATCCCTAGTACCAAAAGAAAAGAAAAAAACAAAATCAAAAATCAAAACAATTCAACAAGATAACCTGGCCAATCCTGGTTCAAAATGTTTCTTTTTTTTTTTTTTTTTAATAGTATCATCCTTAGGTAAGATGGAATTATAAAACATCACCTTTTTTTCCTTTTAAAAACAATTTTTAGTTATTGATGGACATTTATTCATTCGTTTATCTGTATGTGTTGCTGAGAAATCGACTCACACATGCTAGGCAAGCTCACTACCACTGAGCTAGCCCCCACCTTTTTTCACTTTTGAAATGTAAATACCTCAAACTGCTTTTTAAGAGCTTGGGTAAGTAGGAAGCAATCCTGTGACAGAGGATTTGAAAAGAACATAGTTTTCTCATTCAGATTACTTTTCTGCTTATTTGTTTTAGATGATACCAATTTATGCAATGGCAGACCAGTAGATGGACTGACTGCTTTGCGCAATGGGACATTAGTTGCATTTCGAGGTGAGCTATGTACATACTTCTGTCTCTTCCTATTATTTTAATAGTTACAGCATTTAAGACAGCCAAAGTCTTGAGAGAGTACTAGTAGGGTTGAACTTTCTAGAGGGGAACTTGATTGATAAACCCACTTTCACAAAGTGAGAATTTGGGAGTAATATCCCAAATATTGGATTAACAAAATCAGACACATGAAGATGTGTGGATACTATTAAGATTTTTCCTACTGTTAATATTTAAACTTCAGATATGAAATGACATCAGGATTTGCAGGCTTTGCTCTATCTTTAAAAATAACATCTCACTTGTGATGCTTTCAAAGGAGTTTTACTCCTTGTGAAAGAGTACCAAGAGAATAGCAATTACTATGTTTTCTGCAGACCCCCTGCTAGTCCAGTCTTCTTAAAACATATATAGATTAAATTTGAAAAGAAGCAAATCATACATAGAAGTTATGGAAATTTTAGAAGTCATTAAGTTGTTAATCCTTTAATTCTAAAAGATAAAGACACTGAAATCCAGAAAGGTGACTTTCTCTTTAAGTTACAAAGCCAAAAGTCTCTTTCTATAAAAACTATAAAACTGAAATATTTCAAAGCTTAAGTTAAATTTCAGACTTTAAGAATATTTCTACTTGGAAATATTTTAATAAGTCCCTTCTGTATCTTATTATACTTTCAGTCAGACCTATTTAACATAGTCTGTTTTTCTTTATGATTATCACTAAAGTTTTGAAAATTTTGGTTTATTTGGGGATATTATTCAGCACATAAGTTGCCACGTCTTTTTAAATTTTAGGTCATTATTTCTGGATGCTAAATCCATTCACTCCACCACCTCCACCCCGCAGAATTACTGAAGTTTGGGGTATTCCTTCACCCATTGATACTGTTTTTACTAGATGCAACTGTGAAGGAAAAACGTTCTTCTTTAAGGTAACAAAACTATACTGCTACAGAATCAGCAAATAGTAACTGCAGTTTATTACAAGGTAAATCACCTTAAGCTCCAGTTCAGAAGGGTTCTTTTATTTTAATGAACAGTTCTATCATCAAAATAACACAAGCTTGATATTATTAATGGTATTCAAACATTCAATTAACATCTTCTCCTTATAACTTAAATTTAAGAATGAGTTAAACATAATTTGCTCTTTTAAATATCAGGATTCTCAGTACTGGCGTTTCACCAATGATGTGCAAGATGCAGGATATCCTAAACAAATTGTAAAAGGATTTGGAGGACTAACTGGAAAAATTGTGGCAGCTCTTTCAGTAGCTAAATATAAGGACAGGCCCGAATCTGTGTATTTTTTCAAGAGAGGTATGTATTATATAATTGACAAAAATTACGAAACATTTTAAAGAATTGATTATTACTTAGTATTGTCATTTATTACTGAGCTTACTGTCAAAAGATATCTTTAATGGCTAGAATAAAATATTTTCAATGCAAAGCTAAAAACTGAGGGCAGTAATAAGTATTTAGATCTCTTGACATGCACAATGTAGTTCATCTGAGTTTTCAGGTCACTGAGATAAAGAACATCCTCATTTACTTTTGGTTAGTTTACTTATTCAACATGTATTTCATGATTCAGTGACTGTTTTGCCATTACTAATATCTAATCATATATTTTTTTAATGAAAAACAAGTTGATTTCCTTCATGCTACAAAAGCTCTTTTCCATCTTTTTCTGGGTGGATTAATATCAACTTTACATATTCTATGGTTTTCATATTCTGTATGGTTTTCTGATATACAACAGGTGGCAATGTTCAGCAGTATGTTTATAAACAGGAACCTGTTAGAAAGTGCACTGGAAGAAGGCCTGCTATAAATTATTCAGTGTATGGAGATGCAGCACAGGTCAGGAGACGTCGCTTTGAACGGGCTATAGGACCTCAAACTCACACCATCAGAATTCACTATACACCTGTTAGAGTTTCTTATCAAGACAAAGGTAACGTTTTAACTGTTTAAAATTCCTAAACCTGAAGTAGATGCACTAGTTCCTTATAAAGTAAACCTTAAGAAACAGACCACATTGCCCTAATAATTTAAGTTTATTGATGCAAAATATATCAATTTGCCTTAGTGAATAATCAAAGACCAGTTTATTCTTTTTATGTGAGGGCAAGGAAAGCAGTTTATTCAAGTTAACCATAGTGTCATGTATGAAGTACATCTTACCAAGAGCATTCTATACAAATCTGTAATCCTCAAGACAATCTTAAAGGTAGATTATATGCCTATCAGAGGGCAAAAACTGAAGCACTGAAATTAACATCTCACCTAAATAACAGAGCTACTCAGTGAAAACAGATAAAACCCTTTGTTTGTCAAGCTCTTAGACATTGCTTTTTAGATATTGCTTTTAAATCTGACACCTTTCATTAAAAATGCAGGTACCCTCCATAATGAAGTTAAAATGAGTACGATGTGGAGAGGACTTCCAAATGTGGTTACCTCAGCTATAACACTGCCCAACATTAGACGACCTGATGGATATGACTACTATGCCTTTTCCAAGGGTAAGTCCTTAAGGAAAATTTTAGCTGCTCAAGTTGATCTCACTTATGAAAATATAATTAAAACACCTAGTGCACTGGTGACCGAAGATGATATAATTCTTATTCTAACTGCTGTTAAGGGGAGATTTTTGCTTTAATTTCAGTTAAACTGTGATAGGACTGAAATCCAGTTCTACTCTACCCTTTGTGATGTTATAACATATCCAATTACTTGGGTAAAACTGATGCCTAAAACAGCATTCTACTTCTATCATCTGGAACATTTAACAGATGCCATGAAATAAGAAGGACATTCTTGAGAAACTAATTTTATTTTGAAAAGCGCAGAAATCTAATTTATTCTTCTTATGATTCTATAATATGAATGGCATCAGAATGTATTTTTTTTAGTTGTAATTGGACAAAATACCTTCATTTTATTTATTTTTTATGTGGTGATGAGGATCGAATCTAGCACCTCACAYGTGCTAGGCAAGTACTCTACTGCTGAGCCACAACCCCAGCCCCAAAATATATTTTTTAAAAAAGGATAAAAATAATTATTTTCAGAAAAACCGTATTCTTAAATGCTTATTTCAAAAAGGAGAGTTGAACACTAAATTAATAAAAACATTTCTGATAGTACAAATGTTAAATGCTATATTTTGAGTCATCAATACAGTTTAGTTCATATATATTCTTTTTAATTAAAAAATAATTTCTCTTTCATTTAGATCAATACTATAACGTCAATGTGCCCAGTAGAACAGCAAGAGCAGTCACTACTCGTGATGGGAAGACCCTCTCCAAAGTCTGGTACAAATGTCCTTAGACTTACAGGCAAAGGAAGAGCCATCTAATTAAAATGAAGAAAAGGATGATCAATTTTGACATTGAAATACATTTTATTAATAAAGAGTGTTGAGATAAGCATACCAATTTAAATACAAAAATGTTTTTCAACTCGACAACCATTACACTAAAACAGATTGACAATTTTATTCACAGGAATTATAGTTTACAAACAATTTAATTAATATTTCCTCTATTTATTCCTCCTCTTCCTCCCATTGCATGGCTTACACCTGTAAAAGGAAACAATAAGAAAGAAAAAGAATAAAAAAAGAGGAATGCTTTAGAACAAAATTTCCTTTCTTTTTCTTTTTGGTACTAGGGATTGAGCCCAAAGGGTGCTTAATCACCGAGCCACATCCTCAATTCTTTTTATTCATTATTTTGAGATAGGGCCTTACTAAGTTGCTTAGAGCCTCACTAAATTGCTGAGGCTGGCTTTGAACCTTTGATCCTCCTGCTTCAGCTCTTGGGCTGCTAGAATTATAGGAGTGCACCACTAAGCCCAGCTAGAACACAATTATTTCTTCTTCTTCTTCTTCTTCTTTTTTTTTTTTTTTTTTTGTGGGGGTAGGTACCAGGGATTGAACTCAGAGGTACTCAATCACTGAGCCACATCCCCAGTCCTATTCTGTATTTTATTTAGACACAGGGTCTCACTGAGTTCTTAGGGCCTCGCCTTTGCTGAGGCTGACTTTGAACTCAAGATCCTCCTGTCTCAGCCTCTCAAGCCACTAAGATTACAGTAATGCACCACTGTGCCCGGCCAGAACACAATTATTTTCATTAAAGTATCTAAGCACCATGGATATAAAACTGTTAGTCCCACATGCTTAGTGGAAATCATTAGAATACTTAGATTAATATTTTAATGATATAATTTCAATCTGATAGTTAATCAGAAGACATGGAGATATTAAAATTTTACATTTTTGACTAACCACAACAAAGACAAAAAGCTTCATTTGTTGTTCAGCATAATTATTTTACGATATAAAGTAGTGATGTTACAAATGAACCCTATAATACTAGATTTTTCAAATCTGACTTCAGACTTAAGGAAGAAATCAACAAAGAATAAACACACATTCCATTTTATTTCTATGGTACATATATCTGTCTAAATTTACCTCTCTGTCTGTTAAACTGACGACCTCGGACACCTTGTCTCAGTGTTGTCTGAAGTCTCACTCGTCTGAAAGGCTTTGGCTGACTACTGCTAGTATCTAAGAAAACAGAAGAAAAGCATATTAAAAAAACTTGTTAAATTTTTAAGAAAGCAGTTACAATGGCAAAAAAGTTACTAAATAAATACATGGATAAAGATGTGTCCATTAGCTTTCAATATTTAAGTTTGCTTTTTAATAACAAAGGGACATTTAACAAACAAAAAATGTTTAAGTAAAACAAAACAAAGCAACACCTCCCCACTAAATTATAGTAAAAAAGAAAAGGTCTGACTTTTTTCATTCATACCCATCTATCAGACATGGTAGTAAATGCAGGGAATACATTGTAAAACAGAATGTAAGGTGCTGCAGAGACAGATCATTATTAACACAACATAAGTCCTGTCTGACTCTACTCTTTTTTGAATACCTTCAATCCAATTATCAGTAAATCCCGCTAGCTCAATTTAAATATATATCCTAAATGTGACTACTTCTCACAAATTTACGTCTGTAATTCTGTCCAACCCATCTTTCTTTATCCTGAATTACTGAAATAGCCTCCAAAATTTCTCCTTGTTTCTGTTCATTGCTCATTTCAGTTATATACTGCAGCCAAACTGACAGTCGATCACACCATTACTCTATGTGAAGCCCTTTGGTAGTTTTCTATACCTGAGAATCCCAAGGCAATCACAAAGATCAATTTGATCTATCCTCCTCACCGCACTGTGTCTCCATTCTGACCTCCTTGCAGACTCTGAACACATCAGACACTACTCGATGTCTTATAAATTTTGCATCTGTGATTTATTTTGATCTCAGAACACTCTTCCTCCAACCACTGCAAGCTTTGATCCCCTTCCCCCTTTTTTTTAGGTCTTTACTAAAAGAGACACTTTCTGTGAAATTGCCTGGAATATGGCACACACTCAAATATTTGTTGACCAAATGAATAACTGCTTGGATGGGGAAGTACAGTTTACATTATCAAAGAAATTTAAAGACATCCTAATTTCATAATGAACAACATATTTTCTCAGAGAATGCAATCTTAAAACTATTATCAATTCTACTACTGAGAAAAAACAATTGTTATAGATCATCAAAATATAATTTGGGAGTCCAGAACCTCAGTAATTTTGTTAATTATGACAGCTACATTTTTTTTGAGTCTTCTGAGTACAAAATATTGATTTGTATAATTTACATACATTATTTCTAATTGTGATATTTCACAATAAGACATCCAGAGATTTAAAGCAGGTTTGCCATAAAATTTGGTGTTTCCATGGCAGTTTCAGGATTCCTGCTTTATATAAAAAATTTAAAATGAAAATAATCAAGGTGGATAGAGTATTATATTTCTTAAATAATACAGGTGACTCCCTGCCTGAAAATTTTGAGATAGATATGCTAGTATAATGTATATATAAGAGTGAAATCTGCAGAGCTGAGCTTCTTGAATTTGCATGCAGGCTTGTCTATCACTTACATGTGACTTTGAGAAGTTACTCAATCTTCCTGTATCTCCATCTCCACATTTTTAAAACAGTGGGTTTTATACCACACTGGATTGTTGTGAGAATCAGAAGAGTAAATATTTTTAAGAGACTTAGAATACTGCCTGAAACATAGTCATTGCTCAATAAATGCTGTTTTTTTTAAAAATTACAGAAATACCTTATTACAGAGAGATGCATAATCAAAAACATAAAAAGCCAAACTCTGTAACCGTTTACTCCAGTAAACTTCAAACATATTTTCTAAAGCAACAAAGCCCCCACCCTTCAACCATCCCTATCACAGAACAAACAAAAATGAAGCTGCTGGTTCAAACAGTGGTAGTAGGTCTGGAGAACTTGTCCTTAGCACCCTCTCCAGTACCTATGTCCCCTATGCCCCTGGAGCACTTCTAAGAGACCCAAGGTTTCTATGGAACATTATGGTGAAACGTGAGTGCGTCCATAGTAGCCATGTTTCTGATTATCAATGCTGGCATACTAGAATAATAACAAATATAAACCAAGTTCCCTTTAATGATAATAAAGTTGTACTGTAATCAAGAGCAGTGACTTACCTACAGAAGAGCTGGAAGGAGGATCCTGGCTGGTGGAAGGGAGGTCTGACTCATCAGATGCCTGCACAGGTTCTTCTTCCTGCTGACTATCAATTTCTAGGCCTGCTTCTGAACTAATACTATCAGGAAAAAACAAAAAAACAAAAATTGATTAGAAGACATAAAATGAATTCTGGAATGTTTCCTAGACTCTTTTTGATATAGTTAACCCTGAGCTCCTAATTAACTAAAAATCACAGATTCTGTTAGTAGTCATACATATTTTTTAAAGGAAAAATGAGCTGTTTTCCTCATTCTTTTTTTCACCAAGACAAAGGCATGTTCTAATTTTAGTTTTTGTTTTTCCTTTTCTGAGGTGGGGGGCAGTTAACAAGGATGTTTTATATATTTTTTTTTTTTTTTAAAGAGAGAGTGAGAGAGGAGAGAGAGAGAGAGAATTTTTAATATTTATTTTTTAGTTCTCGGCGGACACAACATCACAACATCTTTGTTGGTATGTGGTGCTGAGGATCGAACCCGGGCYGCATGCACGCTAGGCGAGCGCGCTACCGCTTGAGCCACATCCCCAGCCCGATGTTTTATATTTTTGACACTTAGCTCTCACATTGATAATCAGCATTGATAATCTATTATATAGATTTTGACAAACCCCAAAATACTTTTTAAGGAAAGCAGAGTACTAAAATAATTCACAAGTCATAAGTTTTATCAATATACTAGTAAACCACCATGGGCTGTCATTCAGATAAAACAGGTTATGGGGATGGGAAATTCTTTGCTCAATGGCTATAATTCCATCTTTCTATCTCATTCAAAAAACAAGTGAGGGAGATAGAGTGAAAGAATAACTTGAATCTCCTCCAGTTTCATCATCTGCAAATATTCTTACAGTTATTAGTAACAATTTACCTGAGAGACATCTCTGAGGACTGTGTGCCAGTGCTGAGAAATGCTGGGTGAGATGTAAAGAACATGGGGCTAAAAATCAAGGCTTCAACTCTACCTAGCACCAGCTGGTTACCCAGGAGTACAGCCTAAGCAAATATATTTTCACACAGCTGAGTCTGATCTTTACCATTTATATTAATGGAAAAGAATATTTTGCAGGAATATTGAGTAGATTGGAAATGACATATATAAAGTGGCCTACTAGAAGTATGGAGTTAAAATTAACTAGTGCTCTCAGTAGCATCTGTAACCTCCTGATAATCGTAGAGATTAACACAGATCTGTATTATAGACTAGACTTGTCTTATCTGAAATGTTTCAAAATAAAACAAAGTCCTTGTTTTTCCTCAGGAAATCTGGGTTCTACTTCTTCTTATGCTTCTGACCATGAAGTAGTTGACTTTTTTCCTATTATAAAGAACTAGGTTTCACCTTGAAAGTTAATTTGTCTAGGCTCCTTCCATTAAATTACTCTACTTCCTTTGGATTAAAAAAAAATACGTGCCATCAAATACTTCCTTTGTAAAGCCTTCTTTATAACTGATGTGTTAAAAATGTTGTAATGTCTTGAAAACTACCAGAAAATCTTTAAATTTTATGAAACCAGTATTTCAGACACCAAAGTCTAAAAGCTCGTAAATAAATAGAATTATTTGAGAGCCCACTACTAAATGGAAAGTGAGTCATTTCCTAATATTCCCAATTTTCACAGAAAGACTTCTTTCTTGGAGAGCAATTCAAGCAGCTATATTAACAGAAGAGTACTAGTACTTTTAAAGAAATATTGTTTTTATTTACATTATGCAATTTTCAGGGAGATAACGGTCTTAAAAATTGCCTCCTATAACAATCTCTAAGTTCTAAATATACTTTTATATCCAAAATAGCCTT